GAAATGTGAAAGCTTTCTATTCTCATTTCCATCTTCGTGTTACTTTTCTCCTGACAAAAAACTGTTGCCTCTGAAAGAAATGAATAACTGCGTAGGAGGATTTTTCCTAGTGTATCAACATGTTGTCTCTGAGGAAATAGTGTGGGGAAAACGCATTAAATTAATAACACACACGCTAATGCACCTTCCATTTGCTTTAAAGAGTGGGATCATGTTCATTATAAACACTTTGAGTCTCTCCCTGTTTGTCTTTCTTTAATCCCCTGAAAGATTTTGAAATGTTATTATAGCATGTCAAAAGCCAATGACGTGAAAACAACCTACAGAAATTGAAATTATTTTCGCGCCCCGGTGTGAAATCGAGGCAAAGACACACTGCCAGAGGAAACATGTATTTTATAGGAAACCCATTTGGACACAGTCAACAGTGGCAAATAGCTTCTCAGTGTTGGAGGTTTACAAAAACAAATGTAAAAGCTTTCATGCACTGGGTAAAGATTGAATTACCACGATTTGTTGAGAGCAACAGAAAGGACATTCCAATAAATAAAAATCGGAGTGCTACTTTTAAGACAAAACGGTCGATTTTCACTGCATATTATACAGGTTTTATTATTCTCAAGCCTGTGTCCAATGATGAGCCTATAATTAATTTATCATTTTGTAATCATTTTGTTATCATGTAAAAACTTTTTAAAATCCTAAATGTTTAAATATTTTAACAACCAAACCATTTGTAAACATTGCCAATTTATTGTAAATGTTTTCTATATTAACTTATAGACACTCTGATTGACAACAGAGAAACATTTAGGTTAAGGTTAGATATATAGAAATTAAACACAAATTTAAAATACATGTAGGGTCTGCTAAAACCTAAGCATTGAATGTTTGATAAATATTTGTTTGAATTGCAGACCCAAAATGTACTGAGTTTAGTTTATGCACATATTAAAAAAAAAAAAATTGGTTGTAAACACACTTTATAACCAAATAACAATATTTTACAACATTTAGACATGGTAGACAAGTATAACTATCTCTTCATTCAGTACATGTAAACAGAGGAATGCAGAAATTGAGTCTACTACTACTAAGTACCTTTGGTGAAATTCTTCTTCTTCTTTCCAATTGGATTCTCGTTGTGGCCTGCTGCATTCTTATGCTAATCTTTGAGCCAACATCCACCAGAAAAACGAACAAAATGCAGTTTTTACTTTGTATTTTTTTCTGATTACAGCTGTGCCAACGTGTATGCTTCATGATAATGTACCGTGGGGTGGCTTCCTCTCCTCAGAAAGAAGGCAATGTGAGCAGTTTAAAAAGCACATCCTTAAATCCTCCCCTGTCTCCGTCTGTGGCACTGAACGGTTTGGTTGCCGGGCAACATTAGGAAGGAGTTTTCAATTAAGAAATTCTCGGCGAGTTGGAATTTACTGTCGCCGAGCCCTCACCATCCTCACTTGAACTGCATAGCGTCTTTGAGTTTTTAGAAAAGCGCTATATAAATGTCATGTATTATTATTATTATTATTATTATTATTATTATTATTATTATAGGCTCTGTGGCATGTATGAATGTTACAAGCAAAAAACCATCAGCTGGGTTAACAAAAACTAACATTTATGTTGTCCAAGTTTATTTAAATCTTTCTTTCATTTAGGTAACACTTTAATGTACAATCAGTAATGCAATTGACATTCAAGGTGGTACACTACCTCTTATGTTTTGGTGAATAGTAATGACGCAGGCTCTATTTTCTCTCATCACTTTTTCCCCTTCTGAGCACGGAAACAATTATCCAGAATGTATTATTATTATTATAATTAGGAAACATAATTACAGCTTTTAGGCTCATCATACATCACGATCCTCATTAAATGAGCTGATCTAAGAGCTTGTACTCTCTTACTTGCACATTTTTAACAAGTGTCCCAGTGACAGTTTAGCCGGCAGCAGTATCCTGCAGGATTGCAGCCATTTAGGTCAAGTGAGCTTTTTAGCTCATCTCTTATAGTCAGAGTACTTTTCATTTTTGTATTTCTTGCTGTGTATTAAACTCTTAACGCTGAATGCTGAGTGCACCTGTCACAGTCTGAACTTCTGAAATGACAGGTCAAGGGTTGACAAATTGACAGAGTTGTGATGTTTTTGAATGCACCTTATCTTGGTGTTAAAAAAACTAGTTTTGTGCTGGGATGAAATATGAGAAACCGGTGTCCTGTTTTTGGTAAGACAAGAAACAACAGCGTTTCTTGTTTCTTGCTGCTCCTCTCTCTTTTAAGCAGGAGGCATGTAATATTGAGTTAGCTTTCTAAGAATTTTCCATCATAATGTCATCTTTTATTTTTCTATTTTCTGATCCTGTTGTTAATGACTAACTATTCACAATGTTATTTCCAAGTGATCCCCTTGGAGTTAACTGTAGGTGTTTCTTGAACAAAAATAGGAAGCTGCAAGCTAAATGAAGAAAGCCTATTCTCTCGACAGTTGCCGTCTACCTCCTTATTCACACATCTGAAAATGGATCATACTTACTTTTGAGGAGAATCTATATCCTCCTGTTATTGGCTTCCATGATTCAACTCAATTTGGATTAAACCATACATGAAGAGATCTTTGAATAAAAGCCAAGCAGAGGGAGAGAGCACTTCTTACAGAAAAGTGACTGGTGAAGAAGTTTCACAATGTTTGGGGCTAAGCTAGATGTCATGTAGGGAACGACTCAGATCATCATTGACTTAGTGCATCCCTCCAGGTGTCATAGTTCAGGTTTGCTCCATCTCACTGAAGGATTAGTGTCTGAAATCCAGTGGAGCCTGTAGATTTCTCCTGGTCAGGACATCACTGGCTCAGAGCTGAAGTCCTTTAATTGCCTGTCCAGGAGGGCGAGGGCAAAGCTTAATCCACCTGAAGAGCTGAGGGGGCGCTTTCCATGCCGCACAAAAGCCACTGTGTCACGCTGATACCCTGCGGTCAGATATAGCTATACATTGAATAATAGCCAAAGAGTGAAGATATTATGCAAAAGAAGAAGAGAAGTAATAAAATATATAGAATGTTTGTTCATTTATAAACCCTTTATATTCTCTATTCATAAGAGAAAAAAGGCACAGAGAGAGTAAGGGGCTTTTAGCTGAGGAGAAATGAGGTGTTTTGTAATGCTGCATTGCTGTGGCTTTATTCATTGAGATGGTCACAGCACACCTTGGTAATGATCAAATGAATTAGAGCTTAATAAATGACAGTGGAGCCGGTGTAGTAGGTGCTGAAGACGCACTTTGCACTGTGGGAGAAGGACTTGATTATTGGTGTTGGAATAAGATTTCTAGGGATCAGCTTCTTCTGTTGTTTCTGTTGCTTCTACTGTCAGTACCAGTATGTGAGGCGGTTTTTCCTATTCAATGGCGAATCAAAGGAATGTCTCTTTTTTTTCAATCACTTTCTCTGCTTCTCTGTCCCACTGGTTTATAACTTTATTAGTAGAACTGCTTTTATATTATGTTGAGTGGTGTACTAGTTGTTTTAACCCAACAGTTTTCAAACCCAGAGCAATCCCTAGTTTTCTTCAAGGTTTATTTTTTGAAAATTGACGTCCAGCTTCATTATCTCTATTGTAATAATGCTGATTCCCCTTTGCACATGCGTTAGTGTTAGTGTCAGGATTTGATGTTTTATCCAGGTTATGATACACTTTTATAGATCTTGGTTGTATTGTTGAAGCTGTCTTATATCACGGTATTCTGTATTCATAAATTGGCGTGCAGTTCAAACTGTATTTGAGTTGGAAACCTCTGCAGGCAATAGTTGGTCATTATGCAGAAACACACAGCCTACCTAACCCTTACACACACACACACACACACACACACACACACACACACACACACACACACACACACACACACACACACACACACACACACACACACACACACACACACACACACACACACACACACACACACACACACACACACACACACACACACACACACACACACACACACACACACACCCACACACACACCGACACACACACACACCCACGACCACACACTAACTAATGATGAGCAATAGCGCCGGCGCCTCCAGGGTGTTACACTTCTATGTGACCCCTGTATGAAAAATCACCTCCCACCACCCTTAGCCCTGAATGAATGGATATAATCAGGACACTCACCCATTCAGTCTCCTCAGGAAAATATCCAGTTATTCTCTGTCAGTCCCTTCTCCCCTCATCTCTCTCTTTTTACCTAGCCTCTATCCCCCTACCCCAAACTGGATGTTTTTCTCTCTCCTCTGCATCTTTTATCAGATATCTCTCTTTAACTGTATGCTCTCCCTCCCTGCTATTATTTTCTCATCTGCTCACATAATATCCACCTCTTCTCTGCTGATATTTAAATATCTGAATTCTCCCCCACAATCCTGTGAAAGCTTTCTTCCTTCACTGCAGCAATTTCAATGTTTTTCGACAATTTCTTCCTCGCAAGCACTTTCTTTTGTCTACAATACTACTAAGTGAAATGATCTACCTGGATTAATAACTGTAGTCTTGGGTAACTCGCTCTTGAGTGCCTTTATTTGAGGAATATACCTCCGTGAAATAAAAAGCTTCTTGCAACAACAAAGTCATGTAGTGTATCGTTTAAAGGTGTTGAATATTTTTAAGAAAGGAATGTGATTCAGACGTATATGGGATACGAGAAAGGGTCCGGCCATCTTTTGTTGACTGTAGTAATGTCTGTGTATTTCCAATTTTCCTTCCAAGCAGGTTACCAAGTAACAGAAGTCATGACCTTTGTGTCAGGTGTAGTGAGGAACAAATGACCTTCAAATGCTGAGGCACTTGTTTTGAGCTGCTGCACATTCGAGAAACACCTCATACATATTCAGCGCCCACTTGGCTGCCTACACACACACCCAAAAACAAACCGTGTTAAAGTGAAACAAAGCTCTGCTGGTACTGTGTGTTCCTTGACAGAGATGCTTTCAGGTTTGGTCGTCCAGGGGTGGAGTGCTACTGTCAACACGAGAGTGGAGCAGCCGTCATCCAGCTACAGTTTCTCATCAATGAGGTACATAAATATGAGGGGAAAATGTTGGATTAAATAAAAAGTGAATTACTTGACTGGGGCATCTAAAGTCACTTGTAAGCCCTGCCCTCTCTCTCAAAGCCAATGACAGGTGAAATTAGCATTGATGGCTAATGATCCTCAATCAGGAGTAATTTAGTGTTTTAAAGTTTTGAGTATTATTAATTATTAAAAGTTGGCACCAAATGGCTAGTCAACCCTCTTCTTTAGTCTTGTTAACGTTTCTTTTGATGTGAACAGGAATTTTTGCTCAGTTTAAAACAGTGTTTAAAGGTGATTAAGTGCATTTTTTTTAAATTTTAAAACGTCTATTTACCTTTTGACAAACAAAATGAAAATAGATACCAAATAAAATAACTTGACTCTCACCAGGTAAAATATAACGAATCCATCTTATATAATCATACGTATTTATAGTGTGTGTTCTTTTGATTCGTCTGCTGTTTTTAATTGAATGCATTGTTCAATAATATTTTCTGTTACGAAATACCTGCCAAATAACATTCCCTTCCACAGCAATATCAGACATTTCAGTTCATTCTCACCAGAGAAACGTTCTCTTTTGAAAGATCTTGCATTGAAATTATGACTTCAGATGTTTGTGTTTGTCCTCTTTTATAATCACAGATGTGACTCAACCCACATCCAACTCTAAATATTGAAATATGCAGTCAAGTCAATATCTTATGTCAAGCATCAAACCTAGAGGCCACAGGGAAACTTCATAAGCATTTTGTAAAGTTTAAATTGGCAGGCTGGAAACATGCTATCAGTATTTAATACCTGCAGCACTTTCTGATTCAGATGGCAAGTTAGATTTACTGTGTGTGTGTGTGTGTGTGTGTGTGTGTGTGTGTGTGTGTGTGTGTGTGTGTGTGTGTGTGTGTGTGTGTGTGTGTGTGTGTGTGTGTGTGTGTGTGTGTGTGTGTGTGTGTGTGTGTGTGTGTGTGTGTGTGTGTGTGTGTGTGTGTGTCAGCGTCTGTGCGACTGTGACTCAGCAGTTTAAAACAGAGATGGAGACCATTTTAAGTGCTTCCTCCATGCCCACATAGACTTATATACATCTGATGAATCATCGTGGTGACCTGTTAGACAGCCGCCTGATTTAAATTCTGTTTCCAGGGAATGCAGTCAGACTCATGCATGTAATGCTCCAAGAGAGCATGTGGTATGCTTATTGTAGTCTCCACAATTATTACCTACATGTGTTTCAACAATGTTACCTATCCTGAAATTCAAAATGAAATCCCCTTTTATTTTCTGACAGGGAGCGCTGGTGAGTGCTCTGGCTGACGACAGTGTTCACCTGTGGAACCTGAGGCAGAAGAGACCTGCCATCCTCCACTCACTCAAGTTCAGCAAAGAGAGGTAAGAGGGGCGCACGAAACGGCAAATGACGAAAAAAAGACCTTCTGCTAAGTCGATGTGTCTTGCCACAACTCTCTTTTTCTACTCAATTAGGCCCTCACACTCGCTGTGGTGCAACATTTACTGTGTATTTCTGAGCAGGGGCCAGTGTCACAGTTTGCTGCCTGTGTGAACTGTTAATTTTTCGCCGACTGTCATGCTGTATGCAAACAGACGGCATTTTGTTTGGCAACTGTGTCTGTTCGCCTGAAAAAATGTGCGCAGGGCAAAGGAGGTGACGGAAAAGCTCTCCCCTCTCTCTCACTCTCTCTCTGTTGGTCTCTTACTTAACACACTTTATTTGGGTCACTCTCCTCTGAGGCTTACCCATCACTGGGGCACAGGTGTGAACATACCCAAACACCAGAAGGTTTACACCAGCAGGTTGTTACACACACACACACACCAACAAACAAAGACATGCACACACAACACACACACAATAGGGGCAAAAAAAAGCAATTCATTTCCACACGCACTCTGCGATGGTTTGATAAGCCTTATGACAGACACAGCTTACATTCATCAGAAAAAGCAAGTTACGTAATTTGAGTACAAAACTTTGGATAAATCTCACACCACTCCTTCCTGTTTATAATGTCATGTTACCATCTCAACTATCAAAAAAGTTTAACGTGGTCACACAGTTGGCACCATTTTCAAAATTCTCCTTGGTTCGACATCCAGGACATTTAATATCCAAGAGCTGTTATTTGGCTGACGAGCAATTAATTTTCCACTTGCAAATAAGTTCTGAGATACGAGACGAGTAAAGTGCAGAATCACCTCACCTTAAGGAGGTTGCTGTCCCCTGTCCCCTCCACTCACAGATGCAGCATGTACCCATCAGAGCCAATCATATAATTGGCTAGTGATGTGTCACAGTGAAAAGTGGTGAAATGGTTAAACGTCAAAGCCGATAATCTGTGACGGCGCTGATGTGATGGACAGGCGGCCGGCAGCAGCTTTAAGGGCGGGTTGTGTTCTTGCGGAGGCGCTTGACCGCCTCTGACATTTAGTAAGCACCGTCGTCCAACGCAACGACCTCGAGCCACGGCGTCGGAAAGGAGCAGAGACACTGCATCGCAAGAGACGTCAGGATGGGGAGGAGAAGCTGCAAAGTCAAATGAGACATTTGGAAGAGGAAAAAGAGAAAGTTCAACTAAAGCAGTGGGAAGAAGTAGATGTAGAGTAATGGTAGCAACACACGCAGGACCTCCCGCATCCCACTCCTTGTCCTCATGCCATTGACATTTCAAGAAGAAAAATGCTGGCTTTCAATATGCATCCATGCATAATGTGCGTGATATGGATAAGAGCACAAAATGCAAATGCATTCCTTTTAGCCTTATGAGCAAGACAGTCTAACTAGCTGATGAGTGAATTACACATCAGGCCGCTTCTCTGCACCTTTGACTTAGTTTACTTTCTTCTATCAGTTTTCTTTTTTCAGTGCAACACACCAGTTATATTTCAAATTGTTGCGTCATTTGACACTTACTCTAGCTGCACACCGGGTGTGTCATATAGACAGAAGAAGCTGTCAAAGTACAGCAGCAGGGATTTGCTGATCCAGGATGTGTATCTGATAAAACTGCTGCATGGATGTAATCGCACAGTTACGCTGGATAATATAAAATGTGCTATTGCAATCTGAGAAGCTATTAAGAAGGTATCTGGCTCTAAAGGCATTTATTATTATTTTTAAGGTTTGCCCACCGTTTGGATCAAAGCTTTTTATGGTAGGTGTCAAAAGAAATGGCATCCGGTTGGATTTCCAAATGGTTATAAGAATATGACTGTTTGAAATGACATCAGATGGTAGAAATGGCGACGAGGTGAAGTCCAGAAACTGTAATTGGTTTATTAGGCAGACTTGTTTCAGATTGAATTGTCACCCACTGCCACTCAATCCCATGTCCCACTTTGACCCTTTGTTTTTTTTACCCTTGTTGACTGTTTGTTCAAAGCTTGACTTTAGCTTGTCAGGGTGTAGTGGACAGGGGAGCCATTTTCTGGTCAACAAAAGGACAGTCATCCAACCAGAAATGCCATGACAGCCTCCTAACAAGGTGCGAAACAAGAAAGAAAAGTATAACTTGTTATTTTGCAGAGAGAGATGGTCTCCTTTAGCATGAGAGTAATATCCATTTTAACACTCTCCGCTCAGCAGGAAGGAATTTATTTTAAAAATGTTGTAGTAGTCAGTGTATGGATACATGTTGTTGGGAGGCATTCACTTTAGCAACAACATTGTTTTTCATGCCTGCTAGGATAAACAGTTTAACCGTGAGAACAGTATGGCTCAAGTCAATTAAGGCTAACAAGGATAAAATGATTATATGTGGTTCACTGCTGATCTAAATATCTAAAGGCAGTGAGTTTCCTTCCCACTAAATCCTTATTTCACACGTTTATTTTCTACCATATCAGCCTTTAAAATCTCTAAACTTCCCATCACCTGAGGAAACAATTCCAAAACTCCAATCCTTTTTCTTCCACCTTCCTTCCTTCTTCTCACCCTTCGTTCCCCTGATCAGAATTTGGGTTGATGGGGAAAGCAGTGTTGCAGAAAGCCCTCCGGCGTCAGCATCTATTCACATCATATCACAGGCACTAGAAGAGAGGAGAGAAGGGAGGAGAGGAGGAGTTGAGACAGACTGGGCCTCAGCCAAAGAGCAGTGAGTCAGTCTGTGGGCTGGAGTGTGGGGATGGAGGGAGCGCAAACAAAATCCTGCCGAGTCATTCTGGCGTTGGATGCTCTCGTCACCTCGTGGCCTTGCAGGAATGCACTGCAGATGTGGAAGCTATTCTAATGCAGGATGATATTATGGGAGATAATAAGAGAAGGGAACCAGGGTCACCACACACAGATAAATGAAAGCTGATTTATCGACATTCATAGTGCTTTGGTGGTGAATGTAGCGACTTTGAATTCCTTTTGAAGGTCACCTATTATGCAAAATCCACTTTTTCATGTCTTTTATATATAAACATGTGTCCCCTCTGTGTAAAGAGATTCTGCAAGTTTCAGGAAAAAACTGTCCTGATCCATTTCTATAAAAACCCGTCTGAAAATGAGATTTTGGCCACTTTATGATGTCATAACGTTTGGCTCGTTTAACCATTAGCCAATAACCAACCAAGGTAACACCCGCCCACCTTATCATCTGAATCTCCTCCTAGAGCACCATTGTGTTCTTTTTAGACCCCATTTACACGGGAGCGCAAACGGACCAAATTCGTTATCAAAAAAGTCTTCCGTTCACACGCATTCGGCTCATTTAACGTGTCCGTTCACACAAGACCACTGGAAACGCTGTAGTACATATGCCGGGCCTGTAAGTGGTGCTGTACTTCCGCACGAGACCTCTTGTAAGCGCTGGAGACGCTGTATTATGCCGGGCCTGTAAATGGCGCTGTACTTCTGCCACCGAAAGCAGCGGAGAAGAGCCCGGTCATGGTTGCCATAGTTGCCCTTCTGTTTATGCCACGCGGTAGATTTAGCAATATGTAGTTCATGTAATTCTCCATGTCCACTTGTTGCTGATGGTTGTGCTAGAGGGGCTGCAGTCACACATGTGGGATATGCTAGTAGTAAGGACTATTGCTAACTTCGGTATCGGGGCGGAGAGGGGTGGAGACGACGAGTCATTTATCGATGACAGTCATGACGATCACGATGACCTAGACGATGTCGTACATAAATCGTTTTAGACGCGAGCTGGTACGATGTCTTACAATCACGTTTTAGATGTCGGGAGATC